TATAAATACGTATTTTGATGCTTTTTAAGATTAAAGTATTTGAGTTGGAGCACATATAACGGAATTTAATCAATTGGACCACTTAAAATTGGCAAAGAACCTTTTATGCAGCTAAACAATTGCACTGTCCTTTTAGCATATCGGCGTACATGCATGAATGAGTAAAAGTGACAATGTAAAGCTAATAACTTTTTATTTCTCTTCGAAGTCTACATTTCCATTTCCATTTCGATTTTTGATTTTATGAACTAAATGCGATAATTTACCGATTGAATTGAAAGTTAAGAGAAAGAGAGAAAAAACTAATCTCAAACAAAGAATGTACAATTTCACGTTTGCCAATTCGGCAAATTATCTTTGATTTGCGTTTAAATTGAGTTATTTTTGTTTATTTCGCGCGATTAAAAAAATGGAAAGTATCAATAAACATTGAATTAACAAAAAAAACGTTGATGAGGAAAAATACTTTGAATTGGTTTTTAAGGAAAAGCCATTACTTTATGATTGACCATTAAACTCAATTTATTTGTGATTTTTCCAATTCATCTTGCTCATACTCAACAATATGAAGTTAATGCTTTACATTTTAAATTATGGCACTAATTCGAATTACTCATTTCTTCTCTATTTATGCTCAAGTGTTGATTGCCAAAAAAATTATAAACAGAGTTCGCTTGAATCAAACCTATTGTATTTGAATATCGATATGAATTCGAAGAAAGTAAAAGGGATTTATTTAATGTAAAAATATTAAATGTAGCCCTTTTGGTGATTACAATAGGGACCGGGTCGCATATAGAATTTATACTTTGTATAAACGCAGACGCAAAATATCCGTCGCTGTTCGCTTTGTGCTGCGCTCAATAAATACAATGTATGTGCGTGCGTCTCTCAATGGTCACATGCACACACGAACATGTATTCGCATGATTCATACATAGCGATTCGCGAACAGCGATAGATATGTTGCGTCTGCGTTTATACTTTGTATAATTATACTGCCTGCGTTTAAAATTTTACGCGACCGGGTCCCTGGATTACAATGAAACAAGTGCAAGTTTAAAAATTTCCGTCCGAAAATTATTAACTCCAATTCGTCATTTTTTTATTGATCATATTCAAACTTGATTTGTAATGCACCGAATACAAAACTATGGACGATGGTGTATGATACGTTTATGTAAAAATATCTTTTGTGTTCATAAAATACATGGAATGTTTATTGAACAAATGTATTTTTGGACTGAACAAAGAAAATCGTTCATTTTAACACTTACCATAAATACTCTTTAAATAAAAAAGACAAAAATATCATACACGTCACATTCACATCAGTAATAAATCAAAAACCAATTGATTTTATTAATATTGTTAATGCGTCACGCTGAATTTTATTTGCATTTTGTTATTGAATTTGAACATCGTTGTTGGGCGAACATTTGTTACACATACCGTATGAATGGGTGCAGAAAAAAACGTAAACATATGACAAGTCAAGGGATATGAAAACTAAACATAAATTGTAATCGGTAACAATTAAATTGGAAATGAATTTGAATATGATATGGGTTAGAATTTTTTTGTACTTATTAGGAGCGTTGCTATGATAATCTCGCTTTGATTTTCGAACACTTGTTGATGTGTGTATGTGACTTAATTTGTTAACAAAACTTCTTAAAAATTTCGATGAAAATTTTGATAGTTAGACTTCAAACAGCTCGACGCGAGCAAACATTTCTTTTTCTCTTAAAAACTAATCATGCGCATGATAAATAAACTTAAATCCAAACGAAATGATAAACGAGTAAAAACGAATTTTAGAAAAATTTCGAACATTCAAATAAACAAGTACAGTAGTTAGAGCATAACAAAATGCAACTAAATCAAATAGTATAATTTTCGGTCCCACTGTATAATAAACGTGCGCCCAATATGGAACGTTTACCTCAAATTTGACTATAGAAATTCCAGCTAAATTCTCTGCTTGGCTCACTTAAACACTACAAACTAAAGCATAGTAACCAGTATCTTGAATAAATTTAACAAAATATGTTACAATTTATGTAAAAGCACTTGATTGAATCCGATTTTTTTTAGTCTGATCGATGGTCGAAATTGAGATTTTATTTTAACTCATAACCATCCGGAAGTCCGGAGCATGTGGCGTGCAGTTGAAGTCGCCCATGGATTCGTTTGCAAGGTCCTAAAAAGCCAACCAAGGATGATGAATAAGCGCTTCTTTACGACGATCACCGTAGTCATAGGTCAGCTCTTCGCCTTCTTTGATATCGTCTTTAGCCAGCAACACCAAGTGCGGCTTATTTTTATAGCTCACGATTTTTGTCATTAGATTGCCATTGCGGGAATGATTCACTAAACGTCCAAGTTTGCCCGTTTCGGACGTTGCATCAATACTGCAAAAGATAAGAAAGTGAAATTTAATATCACAAAAAGTTTACTCTAATTACATTGTGATAATAGCGATTTGCTATACTTTATAGTATGTCACTTACCACCATTGTTGCTCTTTGTGCTTGAAATAATACATGTAACACCCAAAATCGGCTTTTTGTGAATAAATTTCTTCGCGACAATCGGCTTCCGTCTGATCAATCAGTTCACCAATATATTCCACAACAAATTCGCCACGTTGAAAGTCCCGACCGGCCACGATACCTCGACCCTTTTCGGCGAACATTTTAACAATGAGTCCATCTTCTAGTTGTTTTTCGATTGCCATTTCGATATGCCGTGATAATTCTTCTTCAACCACCTTTTTGGTTTTTCGTGCACTCCGTCGAATCGGGAAGAAATCAGTCAGTTGTGTGCTTTGAATACGACGTGGTGCTGGATTAGTAGGCACTGGAAAAGATTCGCCATTACTTTTTGTGATGTTTTTGTTTTGTTTTGCTTTCTCTTTGACTACAGGTTTGACATCATCTGCCGCAGCCTCAACATTGTCACTTGTGCCATTTTGTATTTGCTCAGGTTCGGTTATATTTAGCTTTCGGCGTGTTTTCTGTTGTCCTTTACGTCCAGTTTTTACGCCACCATCGCGAATGTTCAGATTCGAAAATACTTCAACTGGATCTTTGACGTAGAGTCGTTGTTTCTTTGTCGGCGATGATCGAATCATAATTCGATGTGGCGTTGTTTGTTTCACACCATTTTGTGATAGTGATTTTGCCTCTGGCGACATCAAAACACTTCCATTTTGAATAGGCACTGTCTTATCTCCATTTTCGACCACAAAGGCAGCGTCAACATTCTTTTGCACATCGATTACATCACCATTTGGCAGTGCTGTTTCACTAACATTCACATTTGATTCATTCGACGTTTCACTTTCATTTATAGAACAATTCAATGAACCATTGCTATCGTTGTGACCATTTTTATGAAAATATTTGGTAATTGCTTGCGGCACTTTTTTTGTTTTACCACCGCCAACCATCTTATGGTTTCGTTTACCATTTGTTGTGGCAGCGTTTGTGACTTTGTTAGTGGTGTGACTTGCTGTTGATTTTTCTGTGCGTTCATTTGTTTGTACCATGGTTTGCACCGACGATGATACCAAATCCATATCTAATTTACAGTCTTTTCGTTTTGGGCTGGCAAAATTTAAATCAACCACATCAATTTTTGTTGCACCACTAATTTCTTTCATTGTTGATGATTTTGCTGTTGCGGCACGTGTCCGTCGACCTAAAATACGAAAAATAAAATTAAATTTTCACACACAAACTCGCACGGGAAAGTTAAATTTCAGTTATGTCAAGCGCGAAACATAAAACTATGGTCAAAGTAGGTGAATGCATCAGCGTTAGTGACGCCATGGACTCTTCTTAATAGGCGGGAACTGAATGCACTATACGGTGCACATTCAGTCTTGACAACATTAGGGAAAAAAGCTTCAATTCCATAATATACACTCACTCATCATTTCTTGTATCCGTTTATGCAAGTCCAGCAATGAAATTTACAAATTTAATTTAACTATGAAGGGCAATGCTTCCGATTTTTATTCAAACATTTTAATTTACACAAAAGGATGATAATGCTAATATGTTTTGCTTGTTTACAGAATGCTGGATTGCAAATGTGAAAAGTTTTTTTTTTCTCTTACATTGCCTTGGATTTTGACAACAGCTGTTTTTATGAGGCGCTCACTCATCTAGTACTTCACACAAGCAAAGTGTTCATCCACACCAAATTTGAATTGAATGATTCGTTACGATGGATATCAGTATTTTTATTTTAACAAAATTAAATCGATTTTTCCAAAAACATTCAAGTTTCGAAAAAAATGACGAATAATAAGGTGAAAATCCGTTGAAAAAAAATGCAATTCATTTTTCTCCTCACTTAAAATGCTGGTTTCTCCATCGAATGCAACGGCCATTTTCTGCTTGTTTTTCGATTTGAAAGCATAACAAAGAACACAATCTACTACAAAAATGTATACTCTCTCACACATATACACACAAGTTCAAATGGTGTGAAGTTGCAGCTGTCAATGAATGAACTAATTGCCGTGCATTCAACTTTAACTTTTATTATTTGAATTTATAAGAATATTGCTTAAATGCTATCAATCATCTTCATCATCGTTAAAATCGCTGCCATCAAAATCACTGCCAAAATCCGATTCATCAAAACTAAAGTCAGCATCGTCTTCATTGCCACCTAATTTTAATGCTTCAATTTTATTTAATAAATCTTCGCGATTGTGCGGTATATATGTCTTCTTTTTCGCTGTTTCAGCGTCATTTTCTGTGGAACCTGGAATGACATAGAAAACACAGTTGATTAAAAGTCATTGATCCAGTAAAAACCGATCAAACGTCTTACCATCTTGTTTCTCGTTTTCTGCTTTGGCATCAACCTCTTTGCCTTTATTCATATACCGTTGGAATGTACGACGTTTCCGTTCAGGCAGCGACTTTATCAAACTTTCCATTTCAACTTTCACTTGGAGCTCTTCTTCGGGCGTTTTTTCCGGTGGTTCAATACTTACTTCGTCGGCTGACGTTAAACATTTGGCACAAACTTTTTCACGTAACGCACATTCTCTACAACATACATGATATGCCTTCGTTACCGTTCGATTCCCACACCTTCAAATAAAAAAAGTACCAAAATTTAGACGAAATTTATATAGAATTTGGCAGAACATAATTGGAAAATACTACAATACTTACTTTACACATGTTTTGGCTTGTGACAATGGTTTATACTTCTTATATTTGATTCGCCATTCGATTTGTGCTTTACAACGTTCACACACCTCACATACATACAACGAATTGATCTTTTTCATTTGTGGTGTTTTGTCATGTAAATCATTTTTGAAAGCAAACGAATTTTTATGCTTTTGAGCACGTTTACGAGTTTGACCCGAACCACGAGCGGTACTCATCTTGTTAATGAAGAACAAATTACTTGCACCCACTGAATTCGGAATTGTTTTGCTTAAAAACACATGTATGTACTTTTGACAAGAACGGTGTGCAACATGTTGAGAGACAGAGAACGTGAGAGAGAATTGACATTGACGTTAAGTTCATTTTCTCTTTGGAATGAACGACTAGAGCTCTGTTGAAAGCGCCATCTTTCGATGAATGGCTGAAAAAGTTTAAATGTTTGCTTTTAAGTTCAGTTTTGTAATAATTGAAGATAAGACTTGTTTATTTATTTTTTTATTCTCAGCTTCAAATCGGAAAAAGCTACTTTTAAGATTGAAATTATTTTTTTTATACTTTTTAATATTCAATGAGGTTTTTTTATTGACAATAATCAAGAAATATTCATTTTTTGTTTTAAATTTTTAGATCCCTCCTTCTTTAATCCGAAAAAATGATGATATCACCTAAAAATTGAGCATAATTTTTTTCACCAGTAATTATTTTAAACAGTTAACCGTGCAAAATGTTTGATTTGAAGATGTGTTTCTTGGATTTGATGCGAATCACGACGAATGGACGACACAAGAAAACGGTAAAAGAGATGTCATCACGCAAACACCCCCAATACATGCACCATAGATTTAACGACACAAATAGAATTTATTTAAATGAAAATATATCGATGACAAGCCGATGTAATACCATCAAATTTTCCCGTTGTCCAACTGGAAATTTCAATCCAAATGCCGTAAATATTTCACGATCATCTAGTAACCAGCAACCATTGTATGAATGTATGATCGATCCAAAGGGAATAAAACAATCGCTATCACCATCACCATTGGGCAAATCTTATAGTCGATTTTCATTGAACGAAAGTCAATTGCCAAGCATTTCAAACCGTTTGCATTCGGACTTTCTCGATAGTTCATCGGATGAGCGTGTTGCATCGACTGTTGAAGGAATGTCATCATTTACCGATTCTCCGTTGTCCGATTCATCAATGCGAGAAGACGAAACCGATGATTATTTTTGCAGTTACAGTGACTGCGGCCAAACGATTGTCGATACACACAGTGTTAATGGCCTTGATTCGTTTTGTACGCTGTGCACATCAAGCTTCAGTTTCAATCGATGCAACGAATGTGAAGAATCATCATGCGGCTCGAAATGCAATGATGACAGTAAAAAGCTGATCGATGACAATGGAGGCGTGAGCGGCGGCGGTGGCGGTAGTTCTAGCGAAGCCATCAGTAGCGACTGCGAATCCGTACAATTCCGGTAAGTTTGAACGAAATATTTAGAAAAAATACAATGTTACCCATGGTAATTTATCAGAACAATTGAATAATTAAGATAAATACCAAAGCAGTAACATTTATCTTGAACCATCTATTTTTTCTGTATTCATTTTTCATCGACTTATTACACCAATTAATTACAACAGTTTAAAGTGATGATTACATAAATTTGCATAGAGTTAGGTCAGCAAGCAGTCTGTGCCGATAAGCGGCATCACTTCTAGTTAATTATTGCCCCAGGAAATAGAACGCCAACAATTAGAAATTACCATAAGTCAATAAATAGACTTCGGAAAATGCATATTTATTGAGAAGCGATTATTTTTGAAACGGGTCTTCTTCTATATTAGTTATTATTTACTTATTGAAATTGATTTATTTATTCAATTAAGTTAATGATATTTTTTAATACGTTGAGAAATGAATGGATTTACGGATCTTTTCATTTAAATAATTTAATTGTTGCAAATATACGAATGCTGAATGCATAGATATTCACACCAAAGATTTGGAAGTGACACAACTTCCACTTGTGTACGATGTAAAAGAAATGTTATTATCAGCAAAGAACCAATCAATTTTTCTCCTTGGAAAGAAAATATAATCCAAGGCCAAAATTTTCCACCGAACAAGAAAAAAGTAGTGCCCGGAAATTCTCCATGAAAAAAAAGAAAAAGTTGAATACGGTCCAAAAAAAATTCTCCGTCAAGTGACATTCCACGATTAATTGCACCAGCGTTGCATAAAATATTCGATGTTAATGCTTCGATATAAATGTAAACACTGAATATATTCGCGAATATGCATACAACATCGAAAAGAGAGAGTTTTATTTTAACATCGTCTTCCTTGGCAAGTGCATTACAAATATAACTACAATCGCATAAAATCGCTTTGTTTGCATATATGTATGTTTCCACATTATATACAATCTAACAGGCAACTGTTAAATTTTCAACGCAGTCAAATCGGCGTGTGGTTGGATTAAATTGGTAATTGCAATTGCAGCCTATGTTATGCCGAAGACGCGTATCGTTTCTGTGCAAACGTCAATACATACAAACGCTCAATTGTGAATTTTAATGTTGCGCTTGTGTTGTGGTGTGTATGGTTTTGTCTTCATGCTTGAGAGATAGATGATTGTATGGAGAAGGTGCAATGGCAATGCAAGAAAATCACGGCCAAGTGTGTACCGCTTTGTTCATCTCACAATCAAAGACGTTTTTGCAATCGACCGGTTAACACTTATCACTTGTTTACTCTCTGTTCTCGGTATAATTCACAATTTTGGTGTTTTCAAGCTTTTGCTGTCTTCTTGATCTCAAAAATAAATAAATTGAAACGCGTCGTAGATCGTTGTGCATGTTGTGTTGTACGGTGTAATTTTGTTCGTGTGTGTGTAGAATAGAGGATTGAATGACTTCGCTTAGATCAAACGGTACATCTGAACAGCAATTATGAAATTGTGACAGATCAGAGGAAAAAAACGCAAGAACCAGTCTAACTAGAGGACTGAACGGCAATATCACAAGAATTCACGCGATATACAGTGCAAACAAAGAGAAGAAAAAAGACCTAGAGAACCGTGCATATCAGTGCATCAAAATAAAATTAATTTTATTATTTACGTCGCGTGCTGTTTCTGTGTCAAATGAACGAAAACACAAAAATTAGAAAATACAGACAAACACCTGTCGCAGTTTCTTTTTCTAACTAGGATTTTGAACAATTTTACACATTTCAATTGCTGTTTTTATTGAATTGTTTGGAAAGTTCAGCCAACCACGTGCGCAATCATCAATTGTTGCTATACGCTGTCGTAAAATAGTCAAATTTGACCCATTTCAAACTGTCCGCCTTTTTTATCCATCATTGTTCCATCAACACGTCAATAGCCCGCTGTGATTATAGACTTTATTGCGTTGCGTCAAACGCGCCCGTTGTGACCAATACACTTTGGTGCTTATTTCTTTTTGCTGTCATTTTTGTCGTAATCAAACTAACGGTAAGTCATATTATTTCTCATTGAGTTTATTTTTGTTTTTATTATTATCGATAATAATAAAATGAAAGATATGTTTTTCCTGCAATTCAACGCACAGCGGCACAACCAGCACCACACAAGCACATCAACAAACGAGCGTATATCGATACATTATGTGGCATCATTAATTGCTACTTCTATTGAATAAAAAAAGCGATACGCTTCGTTTATTACAATCTCGAGATTGTAATATTTATGATCAATGTTTCTAGAATGAACGCAAACTTGTTAAAAATCACTAAATTCCATCGAGAGCTTTTTTTGTGGTGTGCATGTGTGTGGCAAAATTTATCGAAAGTTTTTCTCCCCGAAGAACGAAATAAAAGAGATTTTGATGCATTTTTAAATGAAATTCCATAAAAAGTTTTATCGAATTTTCATGATTTATTCCGACATTAATGGCTTGAAAAGAAGTCTTTCAATCTAAAAAAATTTCAATTATTTCAAACATATAAAAAAAAACGTAGGAAAATGTTCATATTTAATAAACACATTCATTTCCATTAGGGCAAAATATCAACACAAAATTACATAAGTAGATGATTGCTATAGCATTTCAATTGATTATAATAGTATCGTTGTTTGTTTGGTTTATATTTTAACACACATTTTTCCGACCATATTTCCGTGATCGATTTTTTGTTTCTTCGTACAAATTAACCGCAAAAATATTTCAACGCTACATTTGGTGCGCAATAAAATGGGAACAATAGACCATGGCGCGTTTATTTATCGGTATGAATGTGGTCAGACACAATACAGATGTCTCGCGATCAGGAAAACATAATTTAACACATACTTTGCGAATACGTGCATATTTAAAAGCAGGCATGGTAGCATTTAAAGCTTGCTGCAAAAAAATGGAGAGAAAAATTGCATTCGTTTCGCCCAATTTTAATCGGCTATAAACTGCTTTGATTCGATTTATGCTCACGAACAAAAAATTTAATATAATTATTATAAGCAATTTCTCGATTGCGCACAATCGATCAGGCGCGAAAAATGCCAATCTCCATTTTTAATCAACGCGCTTGCACATACGCGAATCTCTGACTCGCTTTTCGGTTTGTTTCTCTGTCTAAATTTATGCACCGAGAAAAATAAGTGGACCGTGACATTTGTGACCATTTTTTCAAATCATTTTTGTCTGTGTTTCATTTTAGAAAACTGTTGACATTGCATTGTGATTATTTGAGCTATTTGGTCCAGTAATTTGATGAAAATGAAAATCTAACGAGAAAGAATAATTATTTCAGTGCATATTGTTATTAAAAAAAACTATTGAATTTATTCAAAGAAAAAATGCAATCAGAAGGCGTTGCGAACAATTCGTTGCAACCAATTCTGGTTGGCTCGATGAAATCGTTGGACGGTTGTCCAAAGGCCATATATGAACGCATTCCATGCTCAACCACATTTAATTTTGAACATCAAGTCACATTCACGGATATGATTTTTCAAAGAATTTTTTTCATTGAAAATGAAATGTTGCACACTAAACAGACAATTTATTGTAATTTTTTTGTTCGCCATGTGTAAATAACCGTTATTTAAACATATTCGCTACATCGAAATGGTGGCCAACGAATCAAACAGAGATGCACGAATGGAAAATGTAATTTTCATAGAGAATTTTCGGTTCAAAGATAACAATTAAGATTTTGAATTTGTTCAAGTGTTGATAAGAATTGTGAGGCAACTTTAGGACGTTGAACGAACAAATAATGATAATTTTCTCTGATTACGTTCGCTAAAAAATCGCCGGAAGAAGATTTTGTACCGGCACATGAAGGTGTGAATTTATGCAATGATAATTGTGAATGGATACGATCGGCACGTGATAACTTCACATATTTTTCCATCAATGAATGACGTTGGCCCATGCAATAATCCGTCCAAAAAATACACCAAAAACTCCAACTGCATAAAAAGTTATGAATAATTTTCACGCTGCAAGAAATTTTCTTCAAAATTTGTATTTATCTAACGGCCCCGATCAACTGCATTTGCTCATTGATTTAGCTCAATGTACAGTTGGTTGTTGTTTTTCTCTCTCTCACTTCCTCTCAGTTTTGATCTTGCCCGGCCACAAACTGATTAAATTGGTAATTAGCGATTTGCTAGTCAATTTATTCAATTTATTGAAGATTACGTGTTATACAATGTGCTCAATTATTGCAATGCTGCTTATATTATCATTATATTTCTCTCGTTCACTGCTGAGGTGTAAAATTAACGAGCACAATACAACAACAATAACAAAAACTCAACGAAAAAATTATGCTAACTTTATGTATGTGGATATAATAAGTTTTTCTTCTTGCTAGTGGTCATCATCAATGCTACCGTCTCTCTCTCTCTCTCTGGCTCTCTTTTCATATTCGACGCTCTCCGCACACATCTCGGATGTAATCAATTCGAATTGTGATTCTTTTGCACATTCATAAATCTTTGGAACAATTGTATCACGTAAGGAGAACAATAAATATGCGCGCACAAAGCACAACACAAATCGTATGTTCAAATGTAACGGAATCGCACACTGCATTTATGCGTTTCAATGAATTGAAATATCTTGGCGGCAGTAGCATTCGATTGTTGCAAGATTTAATTCAAAACAAATCCGATTTGAAATGTAATAAATTCCTGCAACTCAATGAACTAATATGTTGATTTATATCAGTTTTTATTCATTTAAATTGGCTCTCCAACTATTTATAGCAATTTATTGAAAGAGCGAGAGAGAAAATCACACGGAAAAGGGATAAATAATCGCAAACAGATAATTTTTTACTGATGTAATCCCATAATTCGTGTGAAACTGAATCAATTATGAAATCATAGGTTTGTGTACATATATTTTGCGATAAAATTCTTTCAATTCCAAAATGGCATCGATAAGAAAAGTCACGAGGAATGTAGAAAAAACTCATGAA